TCACATAAACGTCAAAATCTTTATACTTTGAAAATGCTGGAGGATATGTTAAACACAATTCCAATATTTCATTGTAGAGGGAGCACTAAACGTTGCTAGCAATTTCGTCGCAAATTCAATATCAGGCCTGATGCGACTATAGAACTTCTAGTTCTATAATAGTGCTCCAATAAAAATATCAAGTAATGGGCTTCCAGTCCCAAAATATCCTCATTATCATCTTCCAGTCTAAATTGTCTTTTATCTACTTCAAGAGATTATTGGACAACCGTTAGTGTGATAAGTAAATAATACTTATCCATATAAAACATCTTCAAGACATTTTTCAAGTAGGCTGACTGGTGTATAAAACTTCTTCAAAGAGAAAAGCTCGATCTTCAGGTCGAGACAATACTTGTGTTTCCCAAGTCTTTTATTTTAAAACTCCGTCTTTCGACATGAGCTGATATCACCAAGCTCTCTATGTGTTTCAATGATATTTAAACCATCAATATCGACTGAGATGATCATAAATAAATAACTCCATTAGCAATTCGTTAAGGAACACATAATGGTACATATTATTTGCATATTCCTTCTTTAGGAGAAAAACCCTCAGTCAATAATATTCAAGTCATACAAAGACTTGGTAGTTTAATGATAAATGTTGCGATTTTCACTTTCCTTATTTCAAAAAGTGTTCAATCCATCAGGGATTACAAATAAATATTAGCGTCTAATGCCCCATAGTTTGTGGTCATGACGTTCATCAACTGCATTCTAAATTTATAATTCACTGCCAATGATGTTAATTAGCGGAACGTAATGCCATCTGTTATGAGAGAGAACATTTAATTAAAATCAATTTAGGGTCTCTGCGTAAACCCTTAAGCTACCAGTCTCGTTTTATATCATACCACCAGATTATTTGTATTTCTCTTTTGTACAAACACCCATTTGTAACTTTCAGGGTTAACATTAAATGGTGTACATGTTATAAAGAGAATATAATTTTAGCGAGTTGAGCTGTATATGCCTTAATTGCCCCGTTATACATAAAAAATACCAATGCACAACTGGTGCCTAGCTCTGGATCCAGATTCTCATATAACGAGAACAATTTGTAAAGGCAATTCTGTTGTCGACAACTATAACATTTTTTATAAATTTCTCCCATATATATAAAATAATGGCAATTTCTAATTCAACCAGACTCTAGATATTTCCCAAAGATATTTTTATTTGGTCGTTCCGCATCCCCAGTATTATGATTTTGGGTGCACCTATAATTTTACTGGGAGTTTTCGCCTTCTGGACGAATATTTGCAGGACATACTTCTTTAAGCGATTTCAAGAGTGACGAAATTTTCTACTAGATATAGCTTTCCGCGGATTCTTGTCTTTTATACCAACATGTCTCCACGCTTCTGGCGTCAAGGAGCGTTGATAAATACATACGGTCCAAGTTCGGGAAGATACATGAGACCTAGTCACTCTTTTTATCATTATATATATTGGCAGATTAATTATCTTCTGAACTTCCAATTCAGTTTACTTCTTATGAACTTCTAGTTCAGTCTACCTAGTACGTGGATTCAAATATTGAAGATCAATCATTCATAGAATTTCTCGGCATTCTATAAAATTTGAGCTCTTATCTTCCCCTAATGCCGTGAAATGATCTTCATAAAGTGTGCAGTCAGCGTACCTATTTATATATTGATCCCTTATCATGGGCTCTAAAGATTTAAATAACCGACGGAGGTTTATAATTAACATATATTTGCCCACAAAGGTACGCTATGGTGGTGATATAAGAAAAATATTGCACACTGTGAATAAAACGTAGATGGGAAATGTTTCGTTTTATACCACGTACTAGGTGTTAGGGGGAATAATTATGATATGCAGTAGGTCAGATTGTGATAACAACAATAACATATAAAACTGATGTCCCCAACAAGAAAATACATAGCTTAAGAATTTTCTTTTACAAAATATGCTTTATATAATATGCCTTTGAAGAAATCTGGCTCACCAAACAATATATTTGCCCAAGGCGGGCCCACTATAGCTCATGCCGTACTATAAAATAATATGGATCTTTAAAGCCTTTAAAAATGTATCGCAACATATGAAGTACCCAAAATATATAGGCAATCATCTAAGAGTAACATATATAATCAGATATGAAAGCATACATATCAAATGATATTATAAGGGTACACAAAAATCATAGGGAAGAAGCTGTGAAGCTTGTCAAATAAAATAGATCTTCAAGATCTCTCAAAAATCCTTATCCTCAACTTTTCATTAGTTTCATTCACTGGTTTGCTTCGTGCAAATTCACATGATATAATTCGCTTCCTCATTTGCTTCGGGCAAACTGATATGATATAATTCATCCCCTCATTTGCTTCGGGCAAACTGACATGATATAAGTTACTCCTTCGTTTGCTTCGGGCAAACTGACATGATATAATTTACTTCTACCTTTCAAATAACATTTAAACAAATTACATCATGTATGACATAAATCAATTATCATTCTTATATAGGAGTATTCCATTTCTTAAATAACACAAAATTGCACTAAGCCATATTCGGAGAAATATACAACATTTTGACATCTTAAATTTAGTTAAAAGATGATTATCATAATTTCTAGATAATAGCAGTTCTTTCGAAATTGGTATAGGATATGTAGAACAAATAATAATTCAACTTTGAATTAGCAACCAATCAATTGCATACGAGAGTCATGATTGCATGCATGAGAACAAATTTGAGTAAATAAGCATGCAAATTAAGAGAAGTAACTCTAAGAAGTAAACTTCTCGAATAGTAAATTTCGAATATTTAATCCAAGTAGTAAAATCAGCAAAGTAAAATCACTTTGCCCTCATAATAATTTGCATCCAAAAAATAACTTTGCACTCAAAACACTTTTGGAGTGTATATACTACTTGGTTACGCAATCAGTTATTGCGGCCATGAATTAACTTTTCGGGTGCTTCAGGCATAAACTAACTTCTCGGATGCTTCAAGTATGAGCTAACTTCTCGAATGCTTCATGCTTCAGGCATGAGCTAACCTTTTTATCCATGAATATATTTTCATGAATTACTCAAAAATTATCATGACACCAACCATTTCTTCATTAATACCTCATCATTTCATTATCACTACCTATCACAGTATTTGCTTCAGGCAAACTGGAATCAGCAAGATGAGCTGAGACTCATTCTTTGATGACCAAATGCTTTGGTGTCCGGCACGTAGGGACAAATTCCCTTCACACCCATATTGCTAGCAAATCTGCTTTTGGCTAGAATTTTGCTTCAATGGATTTTGTCATCATTTCCTTGATTATCTTGATCACTTTGCTTCTTATTTTGAACTCAAAACTCATACCACCTCGGCTATAACCTCGACCACAACCCCTTATAAAGCCGCTCAACTAGGTAACATTATGTGCTTCAGGCACCAGTGCAAAACTAACCAGACATGCACTATGATTCTTTATCAACGACAAGTTGTGCTTCTTAGCCACAAGAAGTGCTAAAATCAGCTTTGAATGTTTCTCGTAACCTGTTGCCATGTACTGCTGCTAGAGTACAAGGTTACTCACATGAAAAGTAGACAAAGTATTTTCAAATAAGTATTTCTCTTGAAACTTCTTGTTTGCAGAGTTTTAATTGTGAGGCTATTTTATGCAGAGCTAAATTGTAGTCAGCTACTGACTTATAATCTTAAAACTTAAAATTAAGCTAGTCAAATTGTGTTTGAGGAAGGACAATAGATGACTACTAGTTAAAAAATGGTCCTTCAGGGACTTTCACAACGCAAAAGGAACTTTTTCAATCAAATACTCATTTTTAAGATTGCGGTTCAAGTAGTGATGTATGAAAATGAGAGCTTGTGCCTTCAGGGCATCGGTGCTCTGTGACTTAGCAACAAACGTTTGGCTAAATTCCTTAGATGCCAAATATATTTCAATATCCAAAGCCCAAGTGAAAAAATTGCTATCGACATGAGCGAGCTCAATAAATTCACATTTTTCAATGAAAGGCATGATACAAGATCATCATTTGATGCAACTTTAGGAAGCAATGTGACAACTTGTGGAAAAACCACTATTTTGAATACATGTTCAAGCAAAGGATGAAGAAACACCATTTACATAAATATGCATATTCGTTTCTTAACATTCTAATACAAACACAACAATCCAATGCAAACATAATAAGTACCGATTATGCATTCGATATCCATAGTCATAGAACATACATGGATACATATACATATAATTTGGCATATAACCACATGTATTTACCATTTCAAAGCATCATGGTTCATATAGAGCCTATCTCATATACATGAATTGAGAGAATAAATAAAGATAATATGTATTTACAAATTCATGTATTTACCCAAATTCTTAACCATATCTTGATGAGGGGTTCATCACTCAAAAGTTGTTAACAAACATGAAGAATTATCACTCATTTCATAGAAACAATAATTGAAGGTTCCAAACCAAACTCATAGCCATATATACACATAATATTTAGATATAAACAATGGCATATGATTCACAAAACAAAATGCACAGGAAAAATGAACCAATAGTACCGTTCACCGGAGATTACAATAGAGACTCGTGCTGATAACGTGTTGTAATTTGGCCTATCAACTAGCTCAGTTCTCGTGTGATGTTTGCAAGGAACTGCTTCGTGATTGTCTGTATATGAGTATATAGAATAGATAAGTAAAATGGACATGAAGAACACAATGAATAGAACATAATCTCATAAGCTCCTCCTTTCATTAAGCCTTCACCTTCAATTTATAGGGACCATTACAACCTTTCACATACTCATCATAAACAAGATATTAAGTAGAAGGCAAATGAAGAGTCTCAAGATTAATGACCACTAATTAAAATATTTATAACAAAATTCATATATTGCACATGATCTTTATTTTTATTGGAATGACCCTGACACTAGCTAGAGATATAATACAAGAAGTCCGGATATTAGCTATAATAATCATATACAAATTCTGCTAGAAATGTGTTTTGCATTCACATTAGTACACTCAATTTCTCCTTGAAACTGCTGTTAGATGAAGGCCTCCACTGATGTGTAGTGTAAACATTGTTCTGTAAGTCACTTTCTTCGAGTCATCTGACAGTTTGAACCGGAAAAAGTGTAGAAGAGCAATGGCCACAATCTTCATCTGTCGATAAGCAAAATCTTTGCCTAAACAAATTCTTGGACCAGCCTGAACATTTTAAAGAAGAAACCAAAATATCCTCATCAGCTCAACTGGAAGTAATTGTAATGTCTAATTGTTATATTGACTTTGTTTAAAATTAACCAACTCTTTTTCACTTCAACCACTGTCGGTGTGTGATTCCATGAGAACATGTTTCTAAGAAAAAATTAAAAATTAATCTCAATTTTATATCTGTAAAAAACGAACAAATCATATCAAATTCTATTGTAATTATTGTCAACTTTATCATACAATTTTTTTTTCTTTTAAGATTGCCATGCCACTTTTAATGCTATGTATTGCACTTTTTAATAATAGACTACGCATTTCTAAATAATTTTTAAATATGAACGAAAAAACTAATTTTTAAACTTAAATCATAAATACTAAACCCTAAACAGTAAAAAGTGAACACCTAAACCGAACATAAATCTAAAAAGCTAAGTCAAACTCTAAAATCCAAATTTTAAGTGTATTACACTTTCACATTGTACAACGTGTAATTTTTAATATTATAGAGTGCACTTTCTAATACTGTGGAATGCACTTTTTAACAATATAATGTGCATTTCTGAATAATCCTGTGAAGTGCACTATATAGTGTTAAAACTTACACGATAAAGTTGATGAAAATTGTAAAAATGTCACTTTTTTTTTTTAATTTTTTAAATTTCATCCAAACAATGCTATTTTTTCGGATGTAAGACTAAGATCGGTTCTTAGTTTTCTACGAAGAGCTTGTTCTCATATTATCTACTTATATATATGGTTGTGTTTAATGGAGAAACTTCCTTAGGTGAGAACGTGCGAGCAAGCATTAATGCACACAATCTACTCCAGGGTCTGCATCGTCATATAGAATTGCCTAGCAGTAGATTGTGTGCACACATACTTGTTTGCACGTTTTCACACTACTGAAAATTCTGAAATTTCTGACCACTTAAATCAAGTCGAAAGCCTTGTTCCGACCACTTTTGGTATCCGGAAAAACTCTTGTTGCTATTTCCGACCACTTTTTACTTTCAACTTGATTTAAGATCACTTTCAGGTGGTCGGAAATTCAATAATTTTCAGTAGTGTCACCTAAAGAATATATATATATATATATATATATATATATATATATATATATATATATATATATAGAGAGAGAGAGAGAGAGAGAGAGAGAGAGAGGGGTGATGTTCCAATTGGAACCTCTTTTCCTGTGAGAATCTGCGAACTTGTACATAAATGCGCCATCTATCCTAGAATAGTTTGTGTACATTTATGTTGGTTCGCAAGTTCTCACAAGAGGAGTAGTTCTCATTTGATCATTAATATAAGGTCTTATGAGAATCACCATGCCACGAGTCTATGAGAATCAATCAAGTGCATTAAAAATAAAATAAATTTATGGATGAGATCAATTGGGGTTCAAAATTCGTGTGTGCATATGGGGCATGTACCGTGTCCAATTGCCATAGACTTAATTTTTTAATGCACCAAATTGGTTTTCATAGACTCATAGGAAGATGGTTCTCATATATGATCACTATCATATGCGAACATGCGGATTGCACCACCACGTGTTAAAAACTGCACCAACGAATGCTCCATAAAATAAATGCATCATATAAATGCACCACACCCTGGTGCATTTCTGAACACGTGGTGGTACATTTGTGCATACATAATGATGCAAGATTACACGACTACACGGGAAGCGGTGGCCGCACCAAATTTTAACTATATATATAGATGTATATATATAAAATTCCTTAATACTTACATGAAATGCAATGAATTTAAATGGTGATTCCGGTTTGAAAACCCCATCTTTTAGCCATCTCTCTGGTCGAAATTCCTCTGCGTCATCACCCCAAATGTACGGCATCCTCCCCATTGCATAAGACATGTAATACACACCATCTCCTTTCTTTACTTTAAATCCATCAGGAAGAACATCATCTGTTTCTGCACATCTCCCATCCTAAACATCCATCCAGTAAACACAGTATATCTTAATTAACTTTAAATATTTATTATAAACAATAATGGAAACATTGTATATATCAGAGCTTCTTAATTGAATTGGATATATAATTACTGTTGGGACTGCGGGATATAGTCTCAAGGTTTCTGTCAATGTTGCATGAAGGTAAGGCATTTTCTGCAGAACTTCATCATCTGTAACACTGGCAATGCAATCTTCAACGCTACTAGCTTTCTCATCCTTCAAGTTTCTGAATGCTTCTTCGATTTCGCGATCCAATTTTTCTCCAACTAGAGGGTTTTTGCAGAGCATATAGAAAAACCAGGAGAGAGTGTTTGCTGAGGAGTCTTTGCCTGCAAGCACGAAGTTCAGTATGATATCTCTAAGGTACTCATCATTCATTGTCTTTGGGTCCTTCTTGCTCTCCCTTATAAACCTTGAAAGTATGTCCTCTTTCTCGTTCTTAAGATCCTTCCAAACATATATTATATTGGCTAAAATTAGTATTCAATTAAAGCTATAATTAATATATACCCGGTAGAACTGGCCACAGGCTGGTTTAAGATTGAACAAGTCAAGAAAATCGGGTCGGGCTTAGCCAAAACCTGAACCGACTTATAGAGGGCTGGTTTAGGTCCTATAAAAAAAAATAGTCGGGAGCCCAACTCGAAATTGACCCAGGCTCAGGCCCAAGAACAACCCAGGTGCAGCAGATACAATAGTTATGCTGTGCAACCGAATGCACCATGCGCATGGTGCATACGATGTCGTTTTGACTAAAAACGCGCGTCCCACTTAAAAAAAAAAAATTCAGGTTTGATTCTCGGCAATAGCATTATTGTGGATATATAGTTATGAATTTCTGGATATTTAGTTCATTCATTGTGGATATTTAGTTCATTCATTGTAGATATTTACTTCATTCATTCACTGTGGATATATAGTTATGAATTTCTGGATATATAGTTATGAATTTATGGATATTTAGTTCATTCATTGTGGATATTTAGTTCAATCATTGTGGATATTTAGTTCATTCATTGTGGATTTTTACTTCATTCATTCACTGTGGATATATAGTTATGAATTTGTGGATATATAGTTATGAATTATTTATGGATATATATTTATGAATTTATGGATATATAAAAATGCTATTGCCGGGAATCGAACCTGATTTCTCTTTTAAGTGGGACGCGCGTTTTTTTAACCAAAACGATGTCGTTTTTCATCGTATGCACCATGCGCATGGTGCATTCGGTTGCATAGCATAATTTGCGCAGCAGATATATTATTATATTGGCTAAAATTAGTATTCTTTTTGGAATACTCATGATTCTTTATAAGGTAGTATCTGTTCTATACTTTCTCAAACATTTTTTGCTCAAAGAATATGTTCGAACCTATAACCATCGAATTACAATGATAATCGGGATGTCATCACACTATAAGGTACTTGGCGCTAAAATTAGTATTCAATTAAGGCTATAATTAATCTATATCCTAGCCTGTATGGCCTGTTACGTTATTGATTCATTAATATAATATAATATAGAGAAAATAACAATTTTCTCATGAATTATATGCTTATAACACTTTTTTCTTCTATATTATCTATGTATCCACATTAGCTCTTAATTATTTTAAAAATGACAATTTTCTCACTTTTACACTAAAATGAACATTTTTACCCTTAAAAATAAGTATTTCATTTATTTTTCTTCTCTAACAATTTATTACTTATAATGAAAATTAGAATAATTAAATGTGAAAAAGAACAATCACAAATTACAAATATTATAATTATAATTTTAGGTTAATGCTAGTAACATAATTAAGAATTAAACATTAATAATTCACTAATGTTAATTAATTATAATTAAAATACTAATATCACTAGCATTTGTTTAAAATTATAATTTAATATTTATAAATTGTGTTGACTCTTTTTTGCATTTATTATGATTCACACATATAAATAAGGAGTCAAGCATCTTGTCCTCAGATGACATGTAGTGATCTCTTCCATGTGGGAGGTCATGAGATCGAACCTTAGTGGAGGTGTTGTTGACTCTGTGTGCTTCAAATAGGTCCATGAACATTACTCAAGAAATCAATTATAACCTTAAATTTTCAAAGGTTGCAATTAAGCTCTTAAACATATTATTTTAGAGCATTGATGCCCAAAAACCAATTGGCGACCTGTAATTACAAGTTACTAGGGTTTCGGCAAATCTCTGGCGAGATTCCGACCATATTCCGGCAAATCTCCGGCGAAACAGTTGTGGGTGTCATTTGGTTTCCATCCCCCGCAAAGGAGAAGGCGACCCTTCTGCTCCTTCGGAGAAGGTGACCCATCTGGTCGCCTTCTGTAGTCGCCGAAGAAGGCAACCAAACAACACCGGTGACCGTTTCGCCAGTGTTTTTTGCCAGAATAGGATCAGAATCTCGCCGGAACTCTAGTGACCTGTAATTATAGGCCACCAATCAGTTTTTGGGCCTCAATGTTCTAAAATAATATGTTTAAGGGCTTAATTGCAACTTTTAAAAGTTTAAGGGCCTAATTAAATTTTTGAGTAATGTTCAGGAGTCTATTTGATCATTTTCTCTATAAATAATACGGAGTAAGTTGGTTGACCCTTAGGGTTGGGGTTCAGCCTTTTGGAAGAAGAAAAACTTGGTTGAGTAGAAAAATAAATGAAATAAATGTTTTGTCCTTATTTTCAAGAGTAAACATGTCTATATTTATTTAACATAAAAGGGATGAAAAATTACCATTTTAAAAATAAAGAACTAATTTAGATACATGAATAATTGAGGAGAGAAAGCATATAAGCATATAATCCAGAAAGAAAAAGTGTCATAATATACCAGTACTTACAGAGTCTAGCTGCTTTCTCCGGGCTGTGATCACTTTGTCAACAAAATCACGGATGATTTTGATGCTGTTTCTCAGGGAAGCTTCAGACCCAATGTTGAAATACCGCTTAAGCGTCCACAATGGATCAACATAGCGCCAGTATGTCAATTCATTTGAATCATCGAAGGCCTTCATAAACATTATGCTTTCCTCTTTGCTTGATCCTTGACCTTCACCTTCTATGCAATTCAAATCCACTCCAAACCCCACTTTGAATATAGATTCCAGTGAGCTTCTCATCAGCAGATCCTGAAAATACCAAATCATAATCATACTTGTTTGGCGAGGCCCGTGAAGGGCTAAGTCCAACCCCAAGCGGGTAGGGGATTGTTGGACGGAATCTTGAATAAAGTTACGCCTTTGCTACAAACTATAGCTTTTGGCATAGTAGTAACTGTGTGGTCAGTGGTGGATCCAGAAATCTTTCCCGGTAGGGGCGAAAGATGCGAAAGATTAAAGCTAACGAGATATTTTGAAAAGAAAATAAAACATTTAGAGACCAAGTCATAAATATTGTTGACTAGATTAGAGATTAAAGATCAAAAAATACATAAGATAAAAATGCATTACAAAAAACTTAGTTCCTTGTAGGATTCGGACTATGGAACATTTCATAGTACATGAATGGGGCTTTACCATCAAAGACAAATTAACCTTTAGATAATCTTTGATATATTTAATATATAGAATATATATGGGTGGAGGAGTGGGGGCAGTTGCCCCCATTGTGGCTCCGCCACTGCATGTGGTCCTAACAAGTGGTATCAGAGTCAGGTCACGGGTTTAAGTCTCAACAAGAGTAAATTGTACCAGTTAAGGTTGGCAATGGCAAGTGTGGAGGGTGGGGAATTGTTGGGCAGAAGCCGGTGAAGAGTGAATAAAAGTAACCTGTATAATTAACACTGGGAAGTGTTGGGGTTTGGGAATTATTTGGCAAAAGTCGGTGATGGTCGAAATCCAAACATAATTATTTTATACTAACTTGTTTCTTGTTAATAAATGCTACCAAATATAATTATATTTTTGATGTAGTGGTAAACGCGTGCTCCCAATAATATACTAACTATTTTCTTGTTTTCAGATTGGGTATTCTCCACTTACTGATCCATTAAAATTTAAACCATCATATAATATAATTTATGATCAAGGGCCATCTCTTGAACAAGAGCTATACATAATTTAAGAGATTTTAGGCCTAGCTATTTTCTTATTTATCATTAAATTATAGAGTTAATGCCATATGAGGTCCTCCGAGTATATATATTGATTTTGTCACATTTAGTCCTGAACATTCAAATTGACCATCCGTGATCCTTCGACTTTCAAATTATTGCCATATGTGGTTAATTATTGCCATATGTGGCTCAAATTAACCATTCATGGTCCAACTTTCAAAATTTAACCAGGTCCTCTTAGAAGGACCATAGCTGGTTAAAATTTGATAATTGAAGAACCATCAATGATTAATTTGGATTACGGATGGTAATAATTTAAAAGTCGAAGGGTCATAGATGAAAGTTTAGAATTAAACGTGATAAAATCATGATACTTAGAGGACCACATATGATACATGATGATTCAAGTGTAACAGCTGACGACATATATAATTACCTACCTGCATGTCAAACACTTGATTAGCCTGAGAATACTCTTCCACTTTTCTGACCAATTTCATTGCACTTCTCCTGAAAACTGTGCAGCTGAAATCTCTAAGCACCCTTGTTGAGAATTCAAGACTAGCAACCTTCCTCTGCTGTCTCCACTTGTCACCATCCACAGCAAAAATCCCTGTGCCAAACAAGTCCCTAAGAACATCCTGGTTGTACTTGCCTTTAGCGTACTTGTCGAAGTTGGTCTTAAGTACATGCTCAATGTTTTGCAAATCGGTGGTATATATCTCACTCTCGACAGGCCCAAGAAGCCTGAAAGTGGAGTGCTTTCTGGCAGTCTCAGTTTGATGATCATAAAGCCTGTTGAAGTATATGAGTTGATGAAACACAGTACCAAGAACTGGTGGGTATTTTGGATTGTTGATTGACTTTCCACTGTAAATTTTTATCAGGAAAGCTATGATTGGTATGAGCAAAAGTAATAAAGGGAGACCTGCAAAGGCTAAAATGTTCATGATTTTTATTTTTGTTTTTCCCACAAATCTTTAGACAGGAAAGTGATGAATGAAGAAGAATAATCTTTTGTAATTGCCAACCGCACAATATAATATTATTGCGTCTAGGAAGATGATGAAGTTAATGCTTTTTAATTCCCTTTGTCAATTTCTATGAAGATTTTTTTAAGGTACCAATTAACAAAAAAAAAAGAATAAAAAAATTAGTGTGACTATTTTATCTTCGGATGACATTTTCACAATAATGTCAGTATCCGATGGCCGGTTTTCGTATTGGGAACGATGGGCTGATTTGTGATTTTTAATTGGACAGGCATGCAGGAAGTGTGATGGCGAAATGAAGCAAACTTACAACCACTCAACGACGACTATATATCTTAAATAAATAATATAATGCTAAAATTATAGATTTCAAATGCTAAAGTATGTATGAGTTAAATAGTTAATTTAGACAAATTCTTCTCGGAGACCATCTCATATATTCTCATTCGTGAGACGGGTTGAATTTTTAAAAGTACTGCATTCTTTTCACGTATATATCACAATTTTCATAACTTTTCAATTCTTAATATTACATTTTTCATCATTATAAGTATTATACTTCTCTCATAAGTCATAACTAACCATTAATAATTTATTCATGATTAGTATTACATTTTTCCTCACAATAAGAACTATTCAACCATAAATAATACATTTTGATTTAATTAAAAGTATTAAAGTTTTTTATATATGTAAGAAACAATTTATTCTTGATTAATATTACATTTTTCAGCATAAGTATTATATTTTTATTGTGATCTAACTCATCTTAAGGATCCATTAAACGGTTTCACAGGAGATTCACTTACTAATTTATGATTTAATTTAATTATCAAGTGTGATGACCTTTTTAAATTTAATCTTCGATTACTATTTTGGCTATATTCTACCTTTGACATTCACTATAGTTTCGAACATGTCATTCATATTAATTTTATCTCATTGTAATTTCAAATTTGTCATAAATAAATTTTACTACTCCTTTCAAGAAACAGACGCCTATACTTACTTTAAAAAAAAAAAAAAAATTATACAAAAGGCGTCCGTTTCTCAACAAGAACGGTATTAACTTTCAGTCGTATTCAAAATATAATCAAATTTAATCCTCCACAAATTGAATCATTCACAATAATTCATTCCATTCATAAATAATATTTCGTTCAATCCATCAATAATAATATATCCTCACTAATAATCATTCACAACAATCCATTCAAATTATCATCAATAATATATCCTAAGTCCCTAACTAATAATATAATCATGCATCTACAATAATCCACCTCATACTGAAAAGTAGAGAATATAAACAACCCTCCAACTACAACGAACAATGGCATATATATACCTAATAATACAGTCAAATCCAAAAACAAAAAGGAACGAACGAGCAATGGTATTAGTGAATACACTAACACGGCGTTTGATTGGAAGAAAGCAATTAGGGGGAAAATAAATTGTAATTCGGTGGGAAAAGAATAAGGTAGAAATAAAGTAGGAATTCAAATTACATTATTTAGCGAGGAGAAATAGAATTATTGGGAATGAGAATGGAAGGAGTGATATAAAGACTAAAATGTCCTTGGGTAATAATAATGCTAAAGAATAAGGCTCAAATTAGCCATCGAACGTAACGTGAAAATGCAATTGGACCACTCAACTAAAAAAAGTACAATTAGACCATTCAACATTGTAAAATCATGCAATTTGTCCCAAGTGACCTGCAGTGGCAGGTTACCAACAAGTAATTAATTAAAAATTTTAAAAATTATTTTAAAACAAAATAAATAAATAAATAGGGTTCGGAGATCACCAGATATGGAAGCAAAAAAGGGGACAACAACGGCGAGGCTTTGGGGGTGTTCTGCAAATCGTCGATTGGCTAGCATTGCGATGGCGGGTGGGCGGCGACCGCGAGGCGAATGGCGACAGCATCGGCAGTAGGATGTTCGGCCATCGCGATGGTGTTACTCCGATCTCCGGCTCGACTCGGGGTGGTAGCGCTGATGGTGGTGTTTTGGGTGGGAGAGAAGGCGGAGTGTTCGATGGTGGCGAAGCAGTGGTGCTTCCTGCGGGTGACCATGGCTGTCAGCGTCTGGCTCTCCCTCTCGTTGTTGGTGCTTCTGTTTGCGCCCAGTGGTTGTCTTTCGTCTCTAGATCCATGGAGACAATTGCAGAACCTTTTTAAAAAAATTAAGTTTTTAATTTTTAACTAATTACCCGGTTGGTAACCTGCTACTGCAGGTCATTTGAGATAAATTGCATGATTTTTAATGTTGAATGGTCTAATTGCACTTTTTTTTTTAGTTGAGTGGTCCAATTGCATTTCCACGTTACGTTCGATGGCTAATTTGAGCCTTATTCCCAATGCTAATAATAATTAAGGGTAAAAAAAATCATTTTTCATTCTTTTCTCTTTCCTTTCCTTATTGAGTTGCAATTCATATGGGTGAGGGTATGAATTGCAATTCAACAAAATGAGGAATTGCAATTCGGTGAATTGCAATTTCCTCCAACCAAACACTGTAATTTAGGTGCATGGCCAAAGAATTAGGTTGTAATTGAATTGCAACTACACCCAACCAAACAACCCCTAAAAAGGGTGTGTTTGGTTCATGTGTTTAGTTATCAGGAATGGAAATCAAAGTCATTGTTATTATTTGGTTGATAGGTTTCTAGAACACTACTATGAGATGGGTTTAATTACTCCCTTAATTAGAAAACTCATTCCCTAATAAAATAATGGTTTCATTCCATTATTCCCCATCCTAATTGGTAATTTGATTTTTAAGTTTGGATTAGTGATTTTTAATTTGATTAGTGACCAGGGATCGAGTCTCACCAGCGGCAGTGTGGGAGCAACCTCTCAAAGTGAGGGGGGCTCCTTGTGCGCAGTGAGCACCGGTCTAGCCTCTGTGATTAATGTTCAGTTGAGTCACCATGATTTACAACCTCCCACCGCTCTGTCGGGCCGGGGTGTGGGGGGCCCTTAGGGTTGGGGTTCAGCCTTTTGGAAGAATTTTTTTTTTGTTCATATTGGTGCTCTAGATGTCTTTGTATTAGAATAAATTGTCTTGATTTTTTGTTTTTGTATTTTTAAAACTTTTATTCCCATTATAGGATCATACATAACCAAACAACAATATTGGTAATCATTCCAATTCCACCCCACTACCAAACATGCAAAATACTTTCATCAAAATCCATTAACATTACCAAGTATTTGATTCTCATTGATCTGATTCTGATTCTTATGTGCAAACCAAACACACCCTTAACGTTTAACCTAGCTAGTTATACCAAAGTTGTACGTGTATCCCCTCTATTTGCTGCAAAGCATTAACTGAGAGGCATATCCATTCTTCATCATCATCTAACAAATAAATGTACATCTACATCATCATCCTTAATTATTATTATTATTATTATTATTATTAATTAGCATTCTTACATGCATCCAACCAAACAGTGGTGTTTGTTGTAATAAATATCAATAAATAATTAAAGAGTACGTACAATATAACAAAAGCATATCACCCAGGGGCAGACCTACAGTGGGGCAGCTGTTCCCACTCATCCCACCCCGGCCCATCCCATATATCACTGTTGAAAATTATTGAATTTTCGATCAAAAGTGGTCGGAACAAGACTTTCGACTTGATCTAGATTCCTTTCAGGTGATCGAAAATTCAATAATTTCCAGTAGTGTATAATCCTTGTATGTATATATGTATTTATATATAGTACAAGATTTAGTATAAGTAAAATAAAACAGTTAATGTTAACAAAATATGAGTTAGCTTAGATAGCAAAGAATGCGTCCTTGCTAAAAGAAAGCCAAGGTTTCAATTCTTTCCTATCACTTGAAACCATATTTTATGGCTGCTATTTGAATAACAGTGACGGTCAAAACAAACATGCTATTTGAATAACAGTTAGCATTTCAAATACATGTTTTATATCAATAATAAGATGTGTAATTTATAATGTGTTTTCTATTAAAAATATTTTATCAAATTAATTATGTTTTATATTTTGTTATAAATATTTTTATTTATTTTGAACTCATATCTAACAATATTTATGGCTAACTTCAGATGTGTAATTTATAATGTATTTTCTATGTGTAACTTATATTGTGGTTTCTATTAGAATTATTTTATCAAATTAATTATGTTTCATATTTTGTTATAAATATTTTTTTATTTTGCACTCATATCTAACAATATTTATGACTAACTTCTTAACTGTATTTTTTTATTTTGTGTTCATATATAACAATATTTATGGCTAACGTCTTAACTTTTTCATCTTTTTTTAAGCTATCCTTTTTGTTTTAATATTTCGCCCCCACTTAACAAAATTTTTGAGTTCGCCACCGCCACCTGTTGTTATGTTGTACTCCATTCCTTTGAGATATTACTTCCGGCGACAATGATATTGTTGAGCATTAAAAGCTTAATTGAATCCAACTAAATTTAAGTTTGAATTCAGTGCCGTGCCATGAATAAAACTGGGTCATAATGCATATTGGTCAAACCAACACCCAAACTTAACATTTACCACACTGATTTTACTGTGGTAATAAAATTTATTTATGACACTTTAACACCCAAATCTTCACTAGTTTGATTAAGTGCGTTGAAAAAGGTTTTAATGGAGTCACAACTGGAATTTATTGAAACTAATAATTTATTTTTAACTATAAGATTTCATGAATACGTGACAGAATTGATAATGGTGAACTAAATTATTGTTCTGAATCTATAGAATGAGAACTGATAAAATTGTATTGAATGAATGTAATTACAAAAATATAAATCATAAGTATATACAGGGCCGGGCCTTTGCACAGGGCCCCCAATTTTTTGGGGGCCCCATATTATTAAAAAAAAAAGTATATAATGTAAGTGACTGAGATGCATTAGTATTACTGTATTACACAACCTTTTGCGCTTTTCCATTCAGCGCAACCCTATGGCATTATATTAAATAAAACATTACAGAGCTTATTTACGTAGTTTATTTACGCATTAGTATATACGTAATGTTTTATTTACGGCGGCTCAAGTTTTTCAATTCTCTTAACATGTAATTAAAATTATTAAATATTTCACAACTCTTATTTATT